TTTGTAAGTGTAACTAACCATAAATGAAGTGAAGCATCTTCTCATGAAAATTTTTAAAATAATTTTTTAAATAATTTATTAATTTGTACATATAGCGTAATTTGCTTGGCAATATCGAAGGGATGCTAGACTAGTTTTTTCGCAGTGTTGTAGCACTTGGCAACGGCTGCACTTTCAATTCGATGGCCAAAACCACAAACAGAATGCGATGGGGGCAGACAGGCAGCAGCTGCGACACGTTGCGCATTGTGAACGGGCCAAAAAAGGGGTGACTTGGCCAAGGATGAAGATGGTGATTGAGCCGAAATCAGAGGCGGCGGAGTCGCATGCGGATGCGGATACGGACGACACTGCGGACATTTCGAGAAATGCAGCCCCGAAGGCACGCGGCTAGAAATGGAAACCGGAAATGTTGTTACCTTCCTTCCCCCCTATAAAAGCAGCAGATGGGGCATTGGGCATCCCGGAAATGGGTGCAAATGCGACGAATCGTTATTTTCTAGAGAGGGGGTGTAGTGTGCGTAGTGTGTGTTCTGTGTCTGATTTGCAACGCCGCAGGGAATCGAGTGAAACGGCGAGGAATGGGTCAAGAGATTTGATGCGGGCGGAGGTCAAAGTTGACTAAAAACGGCGGCAGGAGGTGCGAACATTCGGTGCCATGTGCCGTCCAGTGCACAATAATTTACATGCAATTAAATGCAAAATAAATGCAAAGAGATAAATGATTACCCGTGGAATGGGATGACAGGGGAGGGCTTGTGAATGGATACCTATAGGGGGAATAGAAAGTGAAATCGGGAGAAATACTGGTAGATGTTAATTGGAATAAAGGCCACATTATTAAACACATGTTGAAAATTCCATAAATATGTTGAAATGGATTTTCGTTACATGACTGTTAAAAGGATTTAACATTTATTTATACAAATTAAAAAAATAAAATCGGTTTTAAAATACAACTACAACTGGATCCAAAGGGTCAATTCTTATTGTAAATTTTATTTTGTAAGGTACCATTCTAAAAGCAAGATAAACCTGGACTAATAAAACCAAATATAGCGAAATTATTGACAAAGTTTTGTATGAAAAATTAAATTCGCTTAAAAGCTGTTAGAGAAATATATTTTTGAAAGGTTTTGAAATTTATTATAATTCGATGAAAACAATCAGCATCTGATTGGTAACTACTAATTAAAAACAACATTTTAAATTCTTATTACAAAATATTTAGTAAATATTAATAAAAAGGTTTTATTTTCTTACAAAATTAAGATTAATCCATTTGATAGATATATGTAGGATACAGCACAATGCTATCCTATTGAACATTCCGACCTTTACCCTTTCTACAGCTTTTAAGGGGCAATAAAAACGTTTAAATTTACGACATTTTCAGCCCCAACCCCCAAGGATACACTCGTATTTTCCTGTGTAATTGAAAATGCAATGGCAGCAAACACGGAAATTAAACTGTTAACTGTCTTTTGCGGTTGGCTAGCAGAACAAATCGAAAACCAAACCGCATCCATCAGTCTGTTGGCGAGTGGAAAAGTGCAAGTGAAATGCAATTGGGAAAAGGAGGACCCTTGTGCGGTGTCTACCTATCGTGTCCATGCCAAAAGCACTCCCTTCTGTTATCCTTCATCCTGCCACACATAGAGAATAACTTTGAGACAAGAATACCCTTTTAATTTGGTTAAATTTCTTGTGTCGAGATAGTAAAAAGATGGTTGTTTTCATTTGAAGATCATAACTTTTAAAATAGCATTAGAGTGTGGTAAAAAGTGAAGCCCTTTTAAAGAAATTCCACCCTTTTCTCACAGTTTTTTCTTTTTTTTTTTTTTTTTTGAGTCAATGAACTGGAGTGTGCATTTCTAGGCCTTCCTTGTTTCGCCAGACGATGGCTAAAAGCCTGCAAAAAGCCATGGCCAGCTTTGGAAATGTAAATGGGAATGCAAGTGCAACAGGAAATGGAAATGGCTGACGAAGAGCCATTGTGACAGGTGCACAGTGTACAGTTGAACGAGTATACACCTGTACTTACGGGCACATCCACCTGTCTGTGGCTTTTGGGCCTTAAGCTAATGCATTTCTTTAAAATCAACTATATAGAATACTGCTGGAACAGCAGATGTATGCATTATACATACGGCATTATTTAGCATTATTTAACTGGTCTGTCGTCGATGGTAAATGCCGTTACGCCTTTTTATTGTTCGCCACCCAAATGAAATTTGTCAATTCGAACCAATAAAATGCAGGCACTCAGACACACACATGTCAGTACAGTGCGTTGTAAAACTATAAGTCTGCTCAGAAAATGTTAGCTGGCAATAGATTTGGATATCTAGAAATAAGTAAATTACTGAAAATTATTGCAAAATTAAAATAATAGCGTTGTTCTGAAAACTTAATTTAAAATATAATAAATAAACTTAGAAATTAATATGTGTCTTTTTTCAACTTGCTTACAAAGTTTAAGTCTTTATTGTTTCATTTAATATTCGTTTTACTAAGCTTCTTAAACTTCTGAAACGCAGTGTATTCATGGTACTTTTCTCTATCTTTTATGGTCAGTATCCTTGGCAACCTTTGTGCATTATACTACTTTCCTTGCATTGGCTTTTCTTTCCTTTTTTCAGCTCGGGTCTTTATTAAGTTTTCCTCTTGTCCAATTTTGGTTGGCTTTCAGCCTGTTCAAGGAACTTTTGCGCTCGTTTTGTCTGACCAACTCGATTTCAAGTCGTCTGTGTTTCCAATAAATTGCATTTTCTTGATGGTCAAGCCACGCCCCCTTTGTGACCGCATTATTAAATCAGTATAAGATGTTTGGCACTCGCCGTAAACCTTTTTATTTTGGTTAATGGCATCAAAAGTAGATGTGGTAGCTGAAAAGTATGCTTTAAAAAATGGTTGCAGCTAAAACGAATAAACATCCTCACCCCCTAAAAAAAAAAAACCACCCGTTTCATGGGTTTTTATCATCTTCTTTCAACTGCTTATTGAAAAATTGTGCGCAACTCACACAGAAATCATAAACAACGCCACGGGGTGCACAATTTCTTCCTTTTCCCTTTCTCCCTGCAGTTGGCATTTATTGAAATCTAAAGAAGAAAAATTATATATCTATATACGGTGCGTAGGCGTGTGTGTGTGTGTGTGTGCGTGTATATAATTGCATGCTTTTAGGGTTGCTGCGATTAAATTGAAAAGCAAATACAACAATGCCAGCGGAGAAGACAGACGTGGAGAATCTGAGAATCGGAGAAAGCGAAACACTTAAGAACTTCTCCCCAAAATCGCTGTCGCTTTAATTCCCCTTGAATGGCTGCTGGTGGGCAGAGGATTGGGGAAACGGGGGTTTTAGAACTTTACAGAATTGATTTGAGAAAGATTATGAATGGAAATTATAATGAAATTGGGCATGAAAGAATTAAGAGCTTACACTACTGCAGACTGTAATTTTCGAGCATCTTTTGTGTTATTTTTTCAATAACAGAATTGAAACGAAATATTTTTATGTTACAGTACGACAAACCAAACGTTTAGTTAAAAAATTTAAAATTTCGCTTTTACATGCTCTTCATAAAAACTAAAAATTAAATTCATGAAAACTCAGTTTTATGCCGTAGTGCGAATAGCAGGCTGATTTTTATTAACATTAAATTATTTTTTTTTGTCTTGACGAATGTATAAGCTTTGTCTTAAGTCACTTTATTTTTAAGCCTTTCTCAAAACAAATAATAGAAAATTACTTAAACCTAATTAAGCACATTATTTTATTTTTAATCTAAGCCAATAATTTTTAATCCAATGGCTTTCAACTTTTGTGCTGAATTATTGCAAAGTTCTTCTTTTATGAAAAGGCCTTACTCTGTGCGTGACTTTAAGTGAAACGCTCATTATGAAAGTTTTCACAGGCGATTAGCAAACCAGAGTTTTGGCCCAAGTCTTGGCCATGGTCTTGGCCACACTTGACCAGGTTTTACCCACTGAAGAGGCATATTCCCCCGCCCCATTTTTGTAAGCCATCGTCGCGATTTGTCGCAGCGTCTGCAAAGTTTTTGCAGTCAAAAATAAGTGGAATGGGATGGCAAAAGAAAAATAAGAGCCAAAGCAAAGGCATTGTTGCAAGTCTCGCAAGAAAAACGGAGGAGAGTAGGGACGATTTATCATCCATAAGTGGTAATTCATGGGCGAATTGTGAACGCAACATTTAACGCTCAGTCAGAGGAAAAAGACTCACTTAAGGACTTTAACCACCTCCAAGTTATGCAAAGATAAAACATAATATTTTTCATATATATCATGGGATGGCGAGAAAATCCAGAGAAAGAATGAGAAAATGCTCCATTACGTTTTGAAACTTTATCCGTTGGAATAGAAGTATATGCTTAAATACCTATAGAAAGATAGAATAGATTATTTGCAATAAATTCTAGGGAGGTTAAATTTAATATATGAATTTAAATTATAAATGAGCTGAGAATTAGTTGGATGGGATAATATTTAAACAACTTTGTTAGGGTAAGTTTATGCAAAATAAGTTCATGAAACGTAAACTAAAACTAGAATTAAATAAAAATGTATTAAAATATTGAACAAATTTCTGCTGGTTTTGAAAACCATGTATAATTTAACCACTGAACCCAAGTGTATAAACACGTATAATTTAGGCAGAGCTCTATCCTAAAAACCATAATAGCGAGCAAAATTATTGTTTTTATTTCAAAAAAGACTTTTGAAGTGAGTAAAATGATTTGAAATCTAAAACCAGTTTAAGATATTATCAAACAAACAAATTCTAAAACATGGAGTTAATATATAATTTCGCTATGCGTTTTCTAAAATATGATATAATTAAACTACTACTATGGACAAACAGACATGTTACAGTGACGAATTTAATCCTTTTCCGCAAAAGGCTTTATGTGCTTACCCACTAAGGATGTTTGGAGCACTTGACTTATCCCAATCGTATGTTTTTTCTTTACATCCAGACCTTCATTGTACGTGGTTCCAGTCAGCCCAACACGATGGCAGTTTCGGTGAGACTTCCCCAGGACACGGGACCCTACATCGAGCACTATCTCATTCAGTCGCACGACAATGTCCTCAGCCTGGAGAGCTCCCGTTTCACATTCGGCTCGATTCCTCTGCTGATTGCCCACTACGCGCAATGTTGCGATGAGTTGCCGGTGCAGCTGATGTTGCCGCGTGTCCTGCGGGAGGCGAACAACCGGAAGAAACTCAGCTCGTTGGCCCTGCTTGGCCAGGAGTTCTGGAGCTATGCCAGCAGTCCGGCCCTCCTCGGTCCACCCACGCCGACGGTGGCTCCCGCAAAGGATCAGCACCACCTGCTGGATGCCAAGTCGCCGCTGTCGCTGACCGAAACCAGTGGCCTGGGCACGGCCACGTTTTTCAGCGATGCCCTGGCCAAGCCACCGCCCACCGGGGCCCCGCCCCTTCCGGGCAGCAGTCTCTTCAGCCCCACCGGCAGTGGCCAGCTGCTGGGCTTCTTCAGCCAGGCGGGCACTCCGTCGGATACCACAAACTCGAGCCTGAGTTCCTTCACCACCAGCGGGGGTCAGCATCTGCAGCTACTGAGTCCGAATTCCGTGGACTCGGTGATACTCACCATGTCGCCGGTGGACAATCCGGGGCATTATTTGCCGGGATCTGGCTCTCTAGCACCCATTTGCCCCTTGGTGGGTGACCAGCAGCTGAGCACCTTTAAGGTGGCCCAAACAGCGACGGAACAAGTGGATCAAGTGCGTCCGCAGCGACCGAAGCCACCGAATACATTGAATCTCAAGCCACCGGCGCCACCGATGCGATGGTCCAAGCCGCACTCACCGGATCATCAGAGTGCGGGCGGAAATGCTAATGGTAATGGTAATGGTAATGGAAATTTCACGGTCACCACCACGGTTACCTTTTCGATGGAGAACGGCGTGGGCGGTGGAGGCAGTGGTGCGGCCGGAAATGGCAATGGCAAATTCGTGGAGGTGACCACACCGGCGGCCAGCAATCCCTTCAACGCACTGCTCAACGGCCAGGCCAGCACTTTTCAGACATTCGCCAAGCGACTGTCGCCGGAGGGCGAGTGCAAGGACACTCTCTCCTCGCAGGGATCCTCGTCGAACGATGGCCGCTGGCCGCCCACGGGTCGCAAGCTGCTCGCCTCCCCACTCACCCCGTTGACGCCCAGCGGTGGCAGCAGCAGCAGCGGTGGCAAGACCAGGAAATCCCGCGCTGGCAAGGAGTCAAAGCACTACAAGGAGTCGGACATCCTGGAGAGCCCGCCGCAACAGTACTGCGCCAGTGCGCTGAGCGACAAGATCAGCGACTACGAGGACGTCTGGTCACACGATCCCAGCGACCGGGCCAGCCTCCTGACCACTTTCCGACCGGCCCCCGATTCGATGGGCGGCGTGATGAACCGGCGGCCCGATCTGCTGGCCGAGACACGTAAGTCTTTGTACACTATTTTGAAACTATGAGAGGGGTATTGCCATTCCAGAGGTTTGAAATCTAAAACAGGAGGATACCAGTGAGTTTATTTCAAAAGTTGAAATGTAAGGTATATGTTCATTGAAAAAAATTCTCAAATCGAACAATTATTTCGAAAGTTATAAAAAAATAAAGTATAACATGGTCAATGACGCCATCGCTAGCAGATAAATTTACCTTACCGCCAGATGGCGCCGCATCTTGTTTGTTTGTCGCGCCAACAGAACTGCAAGTAGCGCCATCTGTTAGGTGCATATTTGCTTTGAAATTGACTATAAGTCTTTTAAAGACGTGGCACTCTAATGTTTCTTTATATTTTTGTCATAATGCCCTTGCAGAGAGTATTTTAACTTTAGTCAGAAGTTTGCAACACAGTGCAGGAGACATTTCCGACCTTAAAAAGTATATATATTCTTGATCAGCAACACTAGAAGACTCGATATAGCCATGTCCGTCTTGTCCGTCCTTTTGTCCGTTTTTATGCAAACTAGTGTCTCAATTTTAAAGCTATCTGGACGAAACTTTACCAAAAGTCTTAATACCATTGCCGTTCTTTTTCAGATTCTGTTCTATATATATATATATATATATATATATATATATATAAAATCATATTCCAGTGATAAAATTCATAACCATCCGTTTTTCACCGTCTATTTTCCAGCGAGCACACCCACACCGACGCAGTCGTCGCACCTGACGCCCTGCGAGGAGGAAACCACAGTCACGCCCAACGAAAGCTCGAGCCAATCTCTGCTGCAGTTCCCGGGCGATATTCCAGCCCGTTCCCGAGCCGGTCTGCTCCTAGCGAATCTACCGGGTGGTCAGGCGCCAGCAGGCACAATGACCCAATCCCTGACGGCGGCCGTCGAAGATGATGGGGGCGATACCACGCCCACGGCCGAGGGACAGAGCCACGGAGCCAGCAGTCGCAGCAAGCAGGGCAGCCCCTTCTACGCGGAACCGGCGGATGCACTGCGTCAGGCGGGCCTGACCAGCGCAGCCACCGCCATCCTGAGGAGGCCGCCTCGCAGCCAGGCGCTGCACGCCAGCCAAAGACACTCGGAACCACTGAAACCGGGCTCCGGAATTTCGGGTAATGGGGCAATGTTGCAGCCCAGCGAGCTGGAGAAACTTGCCGGAAGCCTGGACGAGCTGAAGCCCAAGCCGAAGGTTAGTCAGCTCCAGCTCCAGCTGCAACAGCAGACACAACAGCCAACCAAGCGGCCGCAGAAACGGACCGACCAATGGCCACTGGACAGCAGCTGGGAGTTCATGGCCAAGCAGGAGACGGGAAGCCATGCTGGCGGGGACTACGATGCGGCGGTCATCGACTGGCAGGAGAAGGAGAACTCGCTGGGCAGGGAGGGCAGTCGGAAGCGCACGCTGACCATCCACCAGATCATCGCCAAGCGACTGCCCGACCTCAATTTGCCGGAACTGGTGCGCTGCTCACCGCCACTGCAGCCGCATGTCCTGGGACAGGATAAGGTCGGACTCGGAATCGGACTCGGAACTGGGCTCGGATTTGGAGTGGGAGTCGGGGGCAGCGATGGCAGCCAAAACGGTTGCAGGCTGTCCTCCTACGACAACGTCTTCTGCCAGAACTCATTCGGCGGCATCGATTCGGCCCAGTCCGACGATGGAACCATCTTCTCGGAGCCCTGGGATTCGTCCCAGTGGGACACCTTCATGCCCCACGATGGTAAGGCAGCTCTGTGGGCATAAAATATGTGTTATATAGTCGGTAGTGATTTATCTCAGCATATCTGTATATTTGTCATGACATAAAAACATTTATTGTTCAGATTAATTAATTAAGATATCTTCGATATCGTTGTATCTTAGATACCATTCTCTAGATTCACTTTTAAATTGACATCATATTTTAAGTAATTTGATGTGGTTAAATAACTGGCTTTAAAAAATACAAAACATAAAAGTGTACAAAATCCTACTCAAGTTGCCACATAAATATTTAAATAAATTAAAAAAAAAAAAAAAATAAATAAATAAAATAAAATCAAAAAAATAATAGGCATACAGTTATAATATAAGTCTCTACTAAAATATGACAAACCTTCAACAAAGTCTCATTTTGTAGTCCTGTGTCCTAAACAATATTAAAATGGATTTCCTTTTTCAGATGCCACCATCAACTCGGACACCATCCATCTGTCCAAGTGCCGACCCGCGCTCTCCGAGGACGACACGATCATTGAGGAACTACAAAGCACCAAAGACGGCAGCAATGCCAGCTGCAACCAGGACACACTCAAGGCCAACCGGAACGGTGCTGGACACCACAAGCCCAACAATGCGGGCCACAATGGCAAGGCCAACAGTCGAACCAAAGTGGCCACAATTCTGCGAAACCCCAGCATGCGGGATCGTGAAGTCTTATGTAAGTGCATAGCTTGTATTGCAATTCTGTTTGGATTCATAGATGGCTGTCTTTTGTGTTTTTTTCAAAGTCAACTTGGTACTTCCTTTCTATTCTTATCCATTTACATTTTAAAATGGCTGGCTGGCTAAATCAAATTGTCAAATAAACATGAATAGACTAGGATTATCTTTGAGTGCCTTAAAAAACCATGGCTTATCATATATTCATTTTAACTACCATATTTTCATATATTGTAGCTCAACATGCCAAATTTTATTATTTGAAAGTAAATAACTACTGTTCGCAATCTTCTTTAAAATCGATAGATTTTCTCTATCAAATCGATCTGATTTTGTAGAGCGAAGCGTGCTGATAATGTCATTGAAATCGGGTCAAATGGGCTGCAATGTAGATGCCAGCACCTGACAGCACTTCGCCTTCGGTTGTCGTCTCGTGTGCTTGGGAAGTGGAGTAATGCTGATGGCGATCATCACGCTCCATTGCAATCTGTTATTATGGTTGCATCATAATCGCTCATCCGCCCCATGGTCGCCATGGCATACGAGTTTCGAGTAGTTATCAGTTATTGGCTATCATCGGCACACCGTCATCGATTGACGGTCCGATTGAGTTGCAATTCTCAAGCCGAAGCATGCATGTTGTGAACTAAAATTCCGTTCGATTTGTTTTGGTCAAGAAACCATAGTCAATGAATCAGATTATTAAGAAACCTTAGAGGCAAAAGGGGTCACCAATATTACTCATAGGCAGCTACTTTTTATTGTAAACAGTAAACAAAACACGCGCGAACGGTAAAAATAACTACAGCGATAAAGAGCTGGAATTAGCTTAGAAGCTTCTTTTGTCTCCTTATTTTGAAACAACTATATTTACTAAAAAGGAAGTCGAGAACATATATTACAAAATAATTTCTAAACAAAAAAAAAACGAAACAATTTTGAGTTCTTATAAAAATCATCTTTACATATGATGATCGTTACTAAATTTCATTGAATCTTAAGCTTTTTAAGTAGCTATTGGAAATAACAGTTCATTGAGACTATAATATTTACATAATTACTGGGAATTGCTTGATTTTAATATACTTTGCGGGCAAAAGTTGTTAGTAATTATTATTAGTATTATTATCTCCTAACAAAACGCTTAATTTTGGTCCCAATTTTGAAGATTACAAGAATATAATACGTTGAACTCAAGCTTGTTCCCTTTTTAAATGTGTAAAATGTTATTATAAAATAACTTAGGTCTGTCGTCTGCGGTGGTTAAAACCGGATTGCAGCGACTTGGACAGAAAAGTCGCAACGCCAATCTGAAAAATAAAACGCGACTGCACTTTTTGCCGTCGTCCGAAGACTACAAAGCCTTGCCGAAACTTATCTGCTGCACAACGTTGCCTTCTTCCAGTCGAACCCAATTCCGATCTCGACCAATCCCGCCCTGCAACTCACAACTCACAACCCACTCCGTTATCCGCTGCCCTCAGATTTCTGCGTCGCAGTTGGCAGCTAAATACTTACAAATTAGATAGATATATGCTCGCAAGGCAGCAGAAAGCGAGAGTGATATACTGAAAAAATAAGAGCAAATACTCGATTTACGAAGGTTTTTTATATAAAAGACCTTGCAAAAATATTATACAAATTTATGACACACTTATGGGCATTTGTTCTAGCTTAAATCCCCAAACCCAATTCTTTGAATTGGACTTATTTCTTTATTTAAAATTTGTATTTTATTAATTTTTTCAAAGATTTGTAGATTAACTCTTTAAGCTGGAAAAACAGATTTCTGAGGAGAATACTTTAGAAAAAATTAAAAACAAACCTTGGATTCATTAAAAAAAAAATTAATTTAAAAAGTGTTATATTCGAAAGTACGGTAGATTTCTTTTTTAAGTACATTTTTCTATTTCAAAAAGAATTCTCATATCTGATATATTTTGATATTTAAATATTGAAAAATATAAGAGAATTTTATTTTAAAAAGTGATAATTTTTAAATAGAAAGATGTTTTTCTTTTTTAAGTTTATACAGTAGTTGACGTAAACATAATGGTTAATTAAAATTTTCACTTGCAGAGTTTGCCGCAGAAATGCATTTAATAAAGGGATCAACAACTTTATTAAACATTTTTTTAATTAATATGAATATGACTCATAAAATATTTTAAAGCGACAAAAAGAAGGTTATATTGTTATTAAATGCTTCACATTTCTTTTGTTGAGGATTTAACAAATTTAAAAATCCAATTAAAAACAACGAATACAACAACGAATGAGAAATAGCTATCAAACATTCGCTTGGAATTATAATACCCTCTTTCAGTGAGGGTATGATACGGATCATACATTTCCGAGTTGATTGAGGGTGGGGTAGGGGGAATGGGGAGAAGGGGGGGTGTTCATTACAGAGACAGACTTTGGAATGTAAACCGACGTAGCGACGGCGGCAGCGTTTTTATCAGCGAGCGCAAATTTCACCGCGCGGAGCCAGAGACTCTGAATGGGATGCGTAATTAGTAGATGAGTAAACACGAGTGTGCGTTGTGTGCGTGGTGTGCGTTGTGTGTGTGTTTGCAGATTGAAATGCCGTTTGGCCAAGCAGTGGGAGTCTCGACCTAGACGATCTATTTTTGGGTCAGTGTAAGCAAAGAAGTCAGGCCAGACAACAAAGGCCATCTGAGATGTTGTGATGGTGATCTGATGAAAGCCAAACAAACTCGCTGCTCTGCTCTGCTATTTTAAAAACGCACTCGTTGCGTTTTTAAAACGCCATGATGATGATCGCTTTTGGTCCAGCCCAATTCACACGTGCCCATTTTTCAGTCGGCGGCTTGGCAACTGCATTGTTGTTTGCCTGCGGCCATCGTAAAAGTTAATGGGGGGTGGCTGGCACTGGTACTCATCATCATCATCATAATCATTATCATCATCTGCTAGGAGGATTGATAAGCCAAATCTCCGGTTGGAATATCAGTAGGCCAACAAAGAAAATCGGGCGAAATAAGCAGGTAGTCGCGGGTTCAGTGCACCCTGCACTCCAAGGCTCAATTTTCATCTCTAAATGCTAAACTTTGGACGAGGAAGATCCCAGTTGGCAGATCGCAAAACCCCTTAACCCTCAACCCTAACCTGGAAACCTCCATTTACCGACCGGAGGTTTTTCCGAATTGCGCATCAAGTCGCAAGTCGCCAGTCGCCAGTCGCAAGTCGCAGGCTAATGCTAATGCTGATGCAATCCGGGCGTGCCATTGCACGAGAACCCGGACGGAGTGGCGGCTCCAGTTTCGAGCTAGCCAGCGTGTCTATTGATAACACCGCCCAGAGATAGACGATAGAGGATAGATGATAGAGGATAGATGATAGAGGATAGATGATAGAGGATTGGAAAAGAAGAGCGATTCAAACTAGCTTTCCGCCAAGGACATCTTAAGATTCTACATTGAAATATTGCTGATAATCAATAATTCCATAGAACCAAAGTAAAATATTTGATGATGATGTTTTGATAGCAACTTTGAACTTCAAACCCACTCTAAACTATAGAAATTAGGCATAGAAATTAACCCACTAAACTTAAGAAATCGGTTTAATTTTTTATGATGATGTTTTGATAACAATTTTGAACTATCATTATATATTTGATAGAAACGATTTAGAGCTACAAACCCACTTTAAACCATAGAAATCTGCCTAAAAAATCAAATATGTTTGATGATAATATATTAATCATAATTTTGGTTATAAACTTACATGATGATGATGTTTTGACAACAATTTAGAACTCCAAATCGTTATAATTAAATCCAATATTCCGTAAAACCATGTCTATATTTTAGATGATGATAATATGTTGATAACTCTAACCACTCAAAACTATATAACTTTGTGTGATAAAGGCTGTTCTGCGCAACAGATAGCATAAGTTTGATAACAATTTCGTACTTCAAACAACTCTGGAACTGTGGAAGCACAAATATTTCAAGTCTCTATTCAGATTTCAAGCTGTAATATATCGAAACCTCAGGGTTCACAGCCCCGATAATCTGTATATGAGTAATATGAATATGCTGCGGCTTCTAAAAATGGTTTTCTGGGGACATACAAGTACATACGAACATCTGGGATTTTGTGTTGTAGGCGAGATTGCAACGGGGTTTTCGACTTGTTGGCCGCACAAAGAACCCCCCCTTATATGAATCAGCTTGAAATGGCGATAAGTTGCGCCTTATTCGCAATTGTACAGGTAGTGATTTGTTATATTACCTGCTGAATGATTGGATTGACTACCTAGAGAGTGGCAAAAATCAAACCAAATCTGCGGTTCACTCATTGGTTTGCGCAACTGTACCTGCGCGAGTGTCCAGAATTTCCCTTAAAATCGAGGATTAGGATTGGGAATAACTACCTGGTTGCAGCCTAAGATGGTTTGTTTTAAGCGTAACGGGAAAGGAACATGAAAAGGTCACACGAATGAGGCCGCCACTTGGCGAGTTGACACATTTAGCGGCGCCGTTGTTGCTATCTTTTGTTTTGCGGACTGCGACGTCGACGGCGATGAGAGTGCCGCCCGCCGTCTTATAAACTAATGCGTATGAAGTTCAGAATTAGTTTTGCATTGGCCGCGTTTAGAGCAGCAGCACAGTCTGCGAGAGCAGAGAGTACAAATCTGATTTCGATCTGATCCGATCTCATCCATAAGCCATCGCATATCAATTAGCCGCCGCGTGTGCCGATGAGAAACCTGCGTTTCCGTCAATTCGTTTTAGCTGGCAAGAATCGCTACCGGATATACCATGAGCTGGTTCAAAAGATCGTCGCCTGCACCGTCCGTGAGCCGCCCGCATTTGGATGCCGTCCACCCGAAGCCGGATCGCCGCGTTGGCCAGGACATGTCCAAGTTGTCACTCAGCTGGCTGGACGAGCGATCCATTGAACGGCAGGAGCCGGAGGAGTTCTTTCACGATCCCGACCATGTGCGCCACTACAAGGAGGAGGCGCAATTCCTCAGCATCATGGCCGAATGGGAGATCATCGAGCATCCGCCGCAGAGCAATTACTTCTCTGCCGACTTTGAGGAGGAGCTGCTGCACCAGCGGACACAGCTGCCCGAGGATATCACACCATCCAAGGAGTCCAAGGATGACATCCAAGGGAAGGCAGTCAAAACCAAAGTGACATTGAGACCGAAACGCAAACGCAAGTTCCTAGAGCTACTCTTCGTGGACAATATACAGAATGGGATTGCCCTGCCATCTGGCGATGGGGACGAGGACCATCAGCAGGCGGAACCGCCCTCCTCGCCGACAGCCGTGCTGTGCAAAAAGTCCAGAAAGTCGAGCAGCTCCTCCACACTACCATCATCCATTGCCACCTGTCCACAGCAGGTGCTCAAAGACTGCCGCATCAATCGCAAGCAACTGAAGACTGAGGCTCTGGCCGGTTCCATAATGGGCGCCATTGGCAAGTGTCCCGCCGGAGAGGATGCCGTGGATCCAAGGGTCACTACCGCCAGCAACAACAGTACCGCCAGCAACAGTACCGATCAGTGCCATCCTGGTGAGCTGAACACCTGTGACCACTACGACATCAAACAGTTCTTTCACCTGGACGAACAGGGCAACATCCTGCTGAGCATGGCGCACATTGTGGAGTGCCAGGCGCTGGGCCTGTGCCTCCAGTCCCAAAGTCGTCGTCTCTATCGACGCTATCGACGTGGCTGTGAGTGTGCCGACGAGCACTTTTGTCGCAGTCGTGGCTGCTGTTTGGTCCTGCGCCGTCTGTTGCGACATCTGTGTGAATTAATACTTGGTAAGGAGTACTTCAGGCTAAAGTTTTTCTCAGTTTTGAACTCTTTTTAAAGGCCATTCTGGATTTGCCATAGCCCTATTTAACTACAAACCCATCTCAAGCCATCTCAAGTCTTAAAATAGACATTTTAAAGAGTTTTGGACTCTTTTTAAGGCCAGTCTTTAATTTGACATTGGTGTTTATAGCCTTATTCAACTACAAATTTAAATTCCAGCAAAAAAGTTTAGCTATCTAGTGCATCATAAGCTTTGAAATAGGATTTGATATTGGTTCTTATTGCCATATTGATCTAACTAGTTAAATTCTAGTTAGGAATCTTATTTGTCTAGCAAACCGACTGCTTAACTTTGTTCTATCTAATCCACTTTAAAACACACACTCCATTCTGAACTCATATAATCTTGATCTAGATTAAGTTGAGGGGGTTGAGCTTTGAAAATATATTACCAAGATTTTTGGGCTCTTTTAAAAGCTTTGCTGAATTGTTACTGCTTTTTGGTTGCCACATTGAAGTACACAGTTAAATAATGGACAGCCAGCCATTTAGAAATATAAATCATATTGTATTTCAACTCATTAAAAGATCAACAAAATTGAACTAACCAACCAATCTTATAGATCTAAACCATCCCTAGAACCCCATTAAAAAATACTTCGCTATACCTATTAATTTAAATATGTAACTAATATAGTAACGCATTAATTTCGCTTACCTTCAGGTCACCCCCGCAACAAGATGAGCCTGCAGAGCAGTGGTCCCGGCGATTCCCTGCGAGCCTACACCCTCCAGCTGGCCCAGGATCCCAGCTCCACGTTTGCCCGCAACATCGAGAACTTCATTTGCTGCACGAAGGAGTCGCGCGAGGCGGCACCGCAAGTGGTGATGCGCAACATGCGCCAGTTCATGAGCGGCATGAAGAACTATCTGGTGAAGCACGGCGAGGGCAAGTTCCATGCCGAACTGGAGACGGCCAGGGCGCGACTGAAATCCGATGAGTTCCTCAATCTGGATGCCATGCTGGAGACGGTGATGCATCAGCTGGTGGTGCTGCCGCTGCGGGAGCATCTCTACGGCATCTTCGTGGATCACTACCAGCGCAGCGAGGACATTCAGCTGTTGGCGCAGAATGTGCGCTATGCCTGCGAACGGGAGGCGGTCGACTTCGGGATCAGGGCCACGGTCACGCCGCCATCGCAGGCCGCTCTGCGGCTAATTGCCAACCTGCTGTGGCGACTCCAGGAGGCCGAGCTGCCACTGGACAAGCTGGAGCTCTTCCTGTGCGTCATCTCCACGGTGTTCGATGCCACTGGGTGTCCGCGTGGCCAGCAGCTGGGCGCCGACGACTTCCTGCCCGTCCTCGTCTATGTGGTGGCCAAGTGCGGCTTCGTGGGCGCCGAAATCGAGGCAGAGTTCATGTGGGGCCTGCTGCAGCCGACGCTATTGAACGGCGAGCCGGGCTACTACCTGACCGCCCTCTGCAGCGCCGTCCAGGTGCTCAAGACCTTCATGGCCTCCGAGGGCGAGAGCGGCACCGGATCCCTGGACGTAAGTAGCAGACACAAATGAGACTGGATTTTGTACTTCACTTAACCACTTGATCGCACACTTAATTTGCATAGATTAAATTTTGAAAACGTACTTAAGCAACTAGGATAGAGCAAACATTTAAAAACCACTTGACGCTTAAAACGAGACTTATAAACAACAAATCAATTTATAATACTACATTTTAATTTTTCATATTTAAGCAGAATGTTTAGGATTACAAACTATAAACATAGTATTAAACTTTAACCTCTAGGACTACAATTAAAATCGAAAGTTACATTTTAAATGAATATCCCTATTTTAAAGTACTTAAAACAAAAAAAACAACGACGCATTCTTCAATTTGCATATTTTTTTCATTAAAAATTGTATTTTAAAAACCAAACAAAAATAAAACATCAACCTTTTTTTTACAAAAACAGATTCTTTGAGTCAATATTTTCGATTTGAAAATGCTTAGCAAAAAATGCAACATATTTGCATATAAAAATGATTATTAACTATTTTTTTGATAAAAACATAAACATTTTTAAGCGCATTAAATGAGTCGTATGGTTGTAATATTTTGTTTCCAGTTTTCCCATTTGACTTTGTCTCTTATTTTTGAATTTTGATAATTTTTTTTTGATAATGGTAGTTATATACTAAAATTCAGCTAAATATTTAGGGAAAAAAATAACTAAGGATACATAATAGATATTTTAAGTCACTGCTCAAACAATAGAAAGTAATAGGAAATTATGCTGGAAATGTTGTACAGCGAATTCCAACTTAAGCTTGATAAAAATAAAAGAATTAAATATATATACAGATAATAGAAAAAAAAAAAAAAAAAAACAGATCTATGTAAATATATTTCAAGTCATTGCTTATCAAAAACGTTAAATATATGAAAATGTTTTTGGAGTTGTACACCCCAAGACTAAGTTATATAAAAGAAAGTAAGATAAAAAATATATATAGGCAATTTTTTGATGCGGTTATCATAGAAACAATAAATAGTGCAATCCAGTCCAAGCTCTAGACCCCCAAATGTGCTTCAGTTACTTACCATTCTTGTGCTTTCTCTTCCAGTGGCGCTCCAGCTGCCTGCCCGCCTGCTCCAGCGTGCTGCGCGTGATCATCCCCGACGAGTGCAACGGATCGCTGCAGACGAGGACGTTGCCGGTGCGACCGCACACCACCACGCGCGAGGTGTGCCGCATCATAGCGCACAAGGCGCGCATCACGAACCCGCAGGACTACGCCCTCTTCAAGCTGGTCGACGGCGAGGAGACGCTGCTGACGGACGCCGAGTGTCCGCAGGATGCCCGTCTGGCGGCCAAGGGGAAGCACTGCATGCTGGCCTACAAACGGATCGATGCCAAGATCGCCTGGCCCACTGCCCAGCTGGCAGGACACTGATTCATTGATTCACTGGTCCACTGATCCAATGATCCAATGATCCACTGATCAAATGATCCAATGATTCCCTAGGGACATATATACATATTGCCCCAACACAACCCGCCCCTCTCTTGCTCACTAACCAAGCATATTTGATTAATAATTTATTATTATTACATTAAAATATACTTAGTAGCATGTAAGTAAAGCTAATTAATGCTAATTAGAAAGCATCTAATGTGTACTAAACATCAGTATTGAGTTAAGTGTGTTTTTTTTTCCAATCATATGTTTTTTTTTTGCTAATAAATATACTATGCGAATAATACATATACACACATATACGATATATAAGCCACTAAGTAGAGATGCAAACTCTGCACAAACAGTAGGAGTAGAAGCAAGGAGTCATCATCGAAACGAATCTACACTCTAAACATACATATATGCAAGCATGAACATACCATATAGCGATGGTATGGTATCGTATGGTATGGTATGGATCGTGTGCGCCACCTTGAAGACCAAAAGCACAGTTCAACAATCCACAGCAACAATCATTCAATCAAGCAATCAAGCAAACAAGCAAACGATCATTGCATACCATCAAACTACACAGAAGGCATTTAGGTGTGAATGGGTTTCGTGTTCTTTTAAGAAGCTATACCATATTATATTAAAATATAAACCACTACATTTTAATATTTATGTTCAACTAAACACCGCTATCAGCCCTCGAAATATACATAAATACTTATTTCGTTGTATACTTTGTAAAATATGTGACACGTAATCCAAATAGCAAGCAAATAAATAACCAAAATAAAAAAAGTGGTATTTTTATTACAATCTTGGTAAATAAATTGAAAAGTAAAAACGAATATTCACACTGTTTTTATGTGTGTGAAAATGTTGTGTTCTGAAAGTCAGTTTATTAGCTTGAATATAAGCTTCCGCAGATACCTTAAAATAGGCCTCGTTATTCTAATGCCACTCTTCATTGCAATATACTTATAGGCTGACAATTTATACTCGAGTTTAATTAAAAGCAACAAAACAAATTAAGTAAAGTCCTCTCCCGCATGCCTCTGATTTTAATAAGTCTGCCTTTTTTTTTGTTTTCTTTTGAGGGATAAGAAAGGTGGGGCCAATCGCCCGGGATCATGCCAAATAGACTTTCCGAAGTAAGAATCGCGAGACATCTGGGGACTTAATTGGGTCCCACCACCGACTATTCGAATTGAATCGAAACGAAACAGAGACGATGCGACAGACAGCTATAATGGACGGTGATAGATGTGCAAATGCGATTGTCGTCTGGCTCTCAAAATAAGCATATTGCCCATATGCGGATTTTTGCGAATTGTCGCCAAGAATCGCGTTCCTCCTTTGGTCTCTCCAGAGCGAGACGAAAATAGCCGAATCAAATGTCGCTAGTTAATCGAGCGTATAGTAGAACTATCTACGCTGCTGCTGCCCGCTTTGTTTTGATGGCAATTCAAATTCGGTGCGATAAGGACCACACATTCGCACGGATGACGCCAGACGGGCAAATGGACAAACGGACAAATCTACGGATACGGACAATCTAACACACGGACAAAACTTTAAAATTTCGCAACGTGTGCAAAAAACGCACCGAAAACGCCAAACAAGTCTGCACAGGAAAAAACAAACAATGCCCATTGTCATCTTAATAATATTTTAAAATCTATTATATTCAGTCCAAAAAAAAAAAAATATATATATATATATTAAAAACAATAAAAACAATTCATTAAGGCATTAATAATATGAAAGTCATTTTGAATTTACAATAATCATTTTGATTCAGAAAAAAATGAAAAGTACATTGTTTACTTCCAAGATTTCTTTAAATAAAGTTCTCATAGAATAAAATGAATCGAAGTTTTATTTACATGATAATGGCATCAAATTTTGTTGTTTTCTTTTTGGGATTTAAGACATTTATAAACAACGATAATCGACAGACTTTTATCTACATATGCTTATTAGAAACATTTGTACTACTGTTTATATTGTTATTGTAACTGAAAAATAATTTTAACTCATTAGTACAACAGAACTTGAAACATTTTTAAGTTTGTGTTATTATTTAAATGTTAAATGTTAATGGTCAAATATTCTGTTTGTCAGTAATTAAATCCTCGCCATCTTCTTGTTACACCTATTGAGTTATATATTTTCGGTGAACTGTGCTGGGAACTTTTCCTTTGTTTTGCTATCGTGCAATAGTTGTAAATTGATACAGATTAGAGTTTGGTTTAATTATAAATAGATAGCTGGCCAGCGATCGCCATCGCTGCTGGCCAGTCGCGATCGCAGAGGCTATAGATTTTTGATATTTTGATATTTTTTGAGTGTGCTCTTATCAGCGCGACACAGCGACAGTAGCAGCAACGGCAAAAAAAAGGTCCAATGACGCGATAATAAACAATTATTGCCACGACACATGGACCCAGCTCCAAAAGCCCCATCCGCCGAGGCGAAGAAGAAGATCAAGGAGCCAAACATCGGTACACCAAAAGAAAAGTGCTTGGCTTTTCTGCATTTGCAAATGGTCTTCGAAATGCAAATTTAAACATCAAAAGAATAGTTTTGAGTTCCGTTTTGCTTCGGTCGTTTACTTGAACAACTAAACTATAATTCTCAAGCTTACAAGATACAATATTGTACGCGAATTCTTAAGCTACATACGAAACTTTGCAGTGTAAAGTAAAATGACCAAGAGTGAAACGATGCACAAATTTTACAGTTTGCAACTTTTTTAATATATATAATATAATACATATACTTAATATTGTATATATAAATAGATAAGCTTTAATTTTTTGCTGTGTATCAACAAATAGCCACAGGGGGCGTAGAAGGGGCGGTGCGATGTTTTGATTTGACGCTCCTAAGTACAGAAAGTCAGGCGGGCAATAAAAACAAAAGATTGACGAGCAAATATATTGATTATTGCACGGATGAAGTGGGCTGTTCGATAACTTTCGCACAAGTCCCCAAACTAACAAGCCTAAAACCAATTGGCGATTGGTGAACTGGATGTGTATGCGTGGAAAAGTGGGTTAAGGGGCGACAACCGACGACGGTGTGTCATAAAATATATTCAAGTCCCGGCGCTCATGTGGATAGATCAATCGATTCGATCGCTGGACGGAGCAAACCTTGTGGCAGTTGAAAAGTTTCCCGACCTTTTTTTTCTGGGTCTATGATAATTTTGGCAAGCAATATGAGATAAAATATCATTAAATAATACTGTATCTTAAAACAAACAATTTCAAGGCTATATTTTGTAATGTTAGTTTACTTTATTTTTGTATTATTTAAAACTTTCCAATGGTTTTAAGTAGTTTCATTAACTAGCTAATTAAAATATAGTATAATGAAAAAAAAAACTATTTTATTTAATCCATGAAACAGCAATAATAAAACTGAAATATTATATATTTGGATAAGCTTTATACTTTCTACATATTTTTAAGTTACTCAAGTAGTTTATACTTGCACAAAATCTTTGTAAAGAATCCCAAAAAATACAAGAAAATCCCAATTCCATTTCCTTACAGTTGAGTCATAATCGTTTTCTAAATTCTATTTAATAAACAGATTAATACTTTTACAACCGATCTGAGTTCCCCGGAATTTCTTTTATTACCAGATAGGAAAACCTCTCAACAAAGGACCCCACTTGTCTCAATATTTATATTGTTATATTAAAATTGCAGAACGTTGTCCGAAGTGGGAACCATAAACAATTCAAATAAAATAATTAATGTCAAATATATGATAATGACGAAAGTATACGGTTTCCTGAAGCAAAACGAAATCCGGGTGGTCTGGCTTTACCTCTGCCGATAAGCGTTTGGACCACCCACGCAAAATCGAGTACCTTTGGCCGAGTACTACCCCTAGTACTATGTAGTACGCCACCATCAGATTGCCAGCAAAAACCAGGCTCGTGCGAATAATCGCATTACGCATACGCCTTGTGCGCAAAGAGCGAGCAGGTGCACAGTGGGTTTGATTGCCTTTTCTTTGGATAAAATACAGGTATACCCAGAGATTATCTTAACATTATATGAAATCTATAATTTTAAACTATTCTTATTAAAAGTGAATTGGTGGAGAAAGAAAAGTCTATAATAAAACAAATGGATTAACGACTTTATATATCAACATATTTGAAAAACACATGTTTATAGATTATTTTTATTTAATTTTCAATGGTCATTAAGTCTGTTAAAATATACATTTTTATAAATTTAAAAAATTAATAAAGTTGTAACAAATTACCATATGTAAGTTTAGTAATCGCAAAGCGTGAAGTTAAAACGTTAAAAAACATAAAATATTACTCATGCGCCATGATGGTAACACGGGCTGAAATGTGGGTCAATCGGCATGGCATGTTGTATACCTAAGTATTTGTCTGAGCTTACCAGAGAAACTTATATTTTGGCCCACTGTGCGGGGAGAGCGAGAGAAACCTAGCCTAGTTGGCGCAATCTGAGGCCCAGTCGAAGATCCAATCGTATGGCGCTGATACAATCGAATAGACATATAGTCGGTATGGCGATCTGAAAAGCAGCCGTCGCAATTCGCTTGGCATTCGCACTGGGCAAGCTGAACGGTGCGAGCGTCAAGTCGCGACGGTTCCAATTTAATTCCGCCGCCATCTACCGACATCTACATTTGGTTTACTCCGTTGTTGTTTGCGTTGTTCGTTGCCTTATTTTTTGTTTGTGTGTGAAAGAGCGCTCGATCGATCCGATCCGATTCGATCGATCCGATTCGATCCGATCAGCAGTGGTAAACAAAGCGATCGCGCCATCTGAAAAGCCAGGAGATAGAATAGCCATCGGAGATGGAGGTGTACACGTCGGACAGCTCGGACACGGATTCGCGGGAGCAGAAGACCCTGGACTTTGGGCGCATGAGCCTGGACCTGGTCACGCTGGAGGATCACCTGGCCTCGCCGCAGAAGGCCCTGCTTAAGTCCAGCGGCGACATCGAGGCCATGCTGCTCAACCACAACCGCCTGGTGGGTCTGCCCCGCCTGCTGCTGCAGTTCGCCAACCTGAAGGTGCTCGATCTTAGCTCCAATGCCATTACCACTCTGCCGGATGCCGTCTGCCAGCTGCCACTGGTCACCCTGATCGCCAAGAACAACCTGCTGACCAACGCCTCGCTGCCCAAGTCGCTGCTCTCCAAGCAGGCCCATGCCCATGTCACCAATGGCGCGACCACGTCCACCCTCAAAGAGCTCAACCTGAGCGGCAACCAGCTGACCCACTTCCCCGAACAGGTCACCGATCTGCGCCACCTCAAGTACCTCTATCTGGGGGGCAACAAGATCTCCGGCATCTCCAAGGACATCTGGAAGATGCAGAGGTACGTGCTCTCGCCTCCCGCCTGTTTGCTCAAGTGTTTTTGTGTTGTCACAAACCCAAGGCATTTTATTGTTGAAACCCAACGTTTTAAATCGGGTATCTTTCTTTTTTATACCCGTTTGTCTCAAAGATTTCTACACCCTGAAAACGAAACCAAAATTAAGGAATATTTACCCAAAAGACAAGACTGGTTCATATTGTTTAGGAACAATTATTTCAAAAATTATAATTTCTAAGAAACATTTCTCATATAAAAAACAGATTGTCAACAATTTTTCGCAATAGAAAAAGTACTTGCAACTTAGGGTCCGTGAAGGTCAAACATAAAACTTAGACTGAATAATGGACAAAACACAATAAAGGGCGATAACTCAAAACAGACTTAATTGTATAGATAACGAAATATGAGCGAATTATTAGATTTATGAGAGCTAAGTGATATAGGCGACGGGGTTCGGACTTTCTTTTTAATTGAATTCCTTTTTAACAGATGACCTAGAATATAATAATTAATTTATTTTTTAATAAATATTCAACATTTCTATTTTAAAAATTGCAAAGTATATTCTTTGATATTGCAAGAAAATAGAGCAATAGCAATAATATAATATATATATAGTTTATGGGAGGAAAGAGGCTCTACTTGTTCGGTAGGAACACTATACTTTTTGACAGTGTTTTTTAATATATTCTTCATTTTAATCATGAACAGAATAGCTAATATATTTATATGTACTTTAGAGGCAGCGAAAGGCTTTCTATTCCCTGTTACCAAATTCATAAATTCACAACGAATAATGTGTGGGGTGTAGGGTATTTCCCGATGGGATTTTCCATTGCCAAATCGGCAAGGATGTGGAATTCGCCACTTTCTGCGAGTGTACTCCCCGCTATCCCCTTGCGGCCTGACATTGGCCACTCGATGGCAAGGGGCGACGACTGGCGATCGCTGTTGCCATGTACAAAAGTCCATGCACAGACGAGATCGTAATATATAGAGCTATATAGCCGGGGAGCTGATAACGCCGGTCGGCCACTTGTTTGGCGGTTGGATGGTTGGACAGATGGACGGTTGGACGGATGGACGATTGGAATGGGAATGGGTGGTGGTGGCGTCGTAAAAGCCAAATCTATCGAAAACACGTACTCGAATCGAGCCAACCGATTTGGTGGGCCCATAAAGATACGGTCGTGTATTAATACAATAATAAACAAAGAGCAAAAAAAAAAATGGCACAAATACAATACAAAAAAAAAAAAAAACTGCACAAAAAATTCCAAATATCAGTTCAAAACAAATTAAGCAATAAAGAACTCTGTAGTCAAGTGCCTGGACAATCAGATACCCTGCACAAAATTTATAACTCACACATACTTTATATTGTGCACATATATACATACTTAAACTTAGATTTAAATTCATAAGGGCTTTAAATATTTATCTAGCCTTTAGAGTTTCTGAGATAGTATTATAAGAAACTATTGTTACATTTAGCAATTAGTCCAGTATGGCCAGGAACTCTGAGCGTATCGAAAATAAATATTTAAATAGGCATTAGTTATCAGATTTGCTGGACTTTGCAACGTCTACAGGGGGAATTGATTGTTGCGCACTTAAAACCCCAAGAATTCGAAGAGGATTTGGACCCTAAGCCCATTGGGCCATAAGCCGTGACATAAGTAGTGATTCACTAGAAAAAAATATATAGGTATACCTATAGTAAGAGCGAATTAAATTAAACAAATATGACTTTTGCTTCTTTAGTTTCATACTCAAATTTAATTTAAATTTTTCTATTTAAATTTTCGTCGTTATCATTAAGAGAAATATTTTAAATTAAATTTACGAGGAAAAATACATTTAAAATAAAAAGTTGCTATATTGTTATTAAATAAATACGTAAGTCAGTTTTAATAAACAAGCAATATTTTTATTTACAGCCTTTCTGGCTACGCCCAAGCCCAAAGTCAATAGATTTTGATCTATCCAAACAAGTTGAACTTTGGGTTCGAATATGTTTGTTACCAAAACCTCTTATCAAGTTAATTTAAATATTTTCTCCACGTATTCTTTCAATTTCTTTTTGAGGTGGCCACATGGCTATTTTATAATTATTAAATGAGTCATTTATGTTTGAGATAACAGCTTATTTCAATGCTTATTAAAAAGGATTCAATCTTTAAAGATTATTATTAAAATAAACGGGTCCCAAAAGGTTACAAAAAAAGTTCACCTCATGAAATCAATTAAGCATTATATTTTCTGTGCAATAATAATTGCCGAATCAAAACCAGTATTCCGAGTATTCCGATGGCTAACTTCTTGAACTTTAATTCTTCTTGCAGTCTGCACGTCCTGTCCCTGGGTGGCAATCTGATCAGCGAAGTGCCCGAGGCGGTGGGCTCCTTGAATCAGCTGCAGGCTCTGGTCCTCTGCGACAACCTGATCGAGATCCTGCCGACGAGCATCGCCCGACTGAAGAACCTCAAGTCGCTGCTGCTCCACAAAAACCGCCTGCGTCATCTTCCCAAGGACATTGTGGCACTGAAGAACCTGACGGAGGTAAGACTCATGCCCCGAAAACTATGTCAAAGTGACACTTAAGCTATATAGAACTAGAGAGGAGAATCAAATTAAGAATAGGACTTAAATCTGAATTTGCCTAAGAATTTTCACCCTATTTTTCGTAGTTTATCCTATTTTATAATGGTGTTTATTTTTGTAAATTATTAAAGCCAATTCTAAATCTGTTCAGCGCAAATTAAATTCTACATTTATTTTTTGTTTGAGACTTTTAAATTTTTAATCATTTAGGGACGATTTCTCAATGTCTTGTCATTTTCCTTTCAATATTGTCCCAAATTTAAAACTCTTAACTAGTGGCAATGCTCCGGTTAAAATTTGTTGGTCAGCAAAACAAAAATGTCAAAGAAAATTTCAGTTAATCTTTAGTTTAAGGTTTGAAAGACTGAATTTCAAGAGATCATGAAATTGAGAATGCGTGTTTCCGAATAATTTATTTAACTGAAGCTAAGTTCCTGGTATTGTTCACTTACTAATCCAGTGATCTGCCTCATTCACAGCTGAGTCTGCGCGACAATCCGCTGGTGGTGCGCTTCGTGCAGGACATGGCCCTGAAGCCGCCCACCCTGCTGGAGCTGGCCGGTCGGATGGTGAAGGCCAGCGGACAGCGACCCGGACCCTACGACATCCCCAGGACACTGGCCGAGTATCTGAACAGCGCCAACTGCTGCGTGAACCCCAACTGCCGGGGCGTCTTCTTCGACAACCGGGTGGAGCACATCAAGTTCGTGGACTTCTGCGGCAAGTACCGGGTGCCGCTGCTGCAGTACCTCTGCTCCTCCAAGTGCATCGAGCCGGAGCAGCCGGCACGCGGCTCGTCCGTTCCGGCGGCGAGTGCCAGCAGCGGCTTCATGATGCGCAAGGTGCTGCTCGGCTAGCCGCATTCCAGACCGGCCCGACCCGATCCTGGCCAGATCAGAACATCCAGGATGCGCGACCGATCCGGTATCGGATTTTAACCGGAAACCAGACACGATATCGATAACGAAATACATATCGATATCCATAGCGAATTCGGATTCGGGAAAGGAAGCGGAAGCGAAAACGGAATGGTGATTGGGAACGGAACGGAACGGAAAAGAAAACGAAGTTCGGAGTTGGAGTCAGAAACGGAAATGGCGAAAGCGACAGCGAAAGCGGAAGTGAACGTGGCGGATCCACGCGTTCCGAGGAATCGAGGAGTCCGGCAGCCACGGGATTATCTCCATTGGCTCCACACGTTATCAAATCCACTTTTTGATCTAGTTTGCTAAGTGATTACGACCTGTTTGTTTGCTCGCTCGCCTTGCGCGCCATTTTCTCTGTTTCTGTCTGTTTGTTTGTTTGTTTGCTTGTTGTTATCCACACTTACACAATCTATACCAAAGAAACGCGGTTGGCTTTCACTGGGCAAAAGGATTCGAGTGGCTTGCGGAACAAATGGCGATATGAAAGATTGCAGTAGTTGAGTGCAAAAACTACATATTTGTATATATGTACATTAGGGCGGTTCAAATTTGAAAAAAAAATTGATTTTTTAAAAAGAAAGAAAGAAAGCGTTCTACGATCTGCGCATTAACGGTAGAGTTTTTTTACATACCTTTGCCTCTGAATAAAAAACCTTAGCTTTATATTTAAACAACAATTTGTTCTTCATAACATATTTTTTTCAAAATTCGAACTAAACTTTGAGATCATTGCGAAACACCTAAAATATAAAATAAAATTCGTTAATTTTGTATAAAGTGCTAAGATATTTGTTTTTGGACCACCCTAGTGTACATGTGTAGTTTACCCACCTTATCAAGCCCCATAAATTCAGTTAGTAACAGAAACTTAAGCTACAGTGAATAGATATTCCTGGTTATATTAGCAAATAATATTGTTTTTTTTCTATACTTAGCAAAAGTCACATTCTTTTAGGGTTAGTTGCGGAAAACATTCCCTACACTACATTTTGTTGATTCTAAACTAGAGAAATACGACTTACTCAATTGCAAAGTAATGCACACATGTTGTTTAGTTTGTCATAAACGATACACAAATCCCAAAAAAAAACTGTACATTACTGTGATCCCAAAATATTCCTTACATTAAATAATCATTGTTGAAAACAATGTAATTCTAATTTAACCCAATAGTTCCTATTGCATATACAAACTTATTATATCACCTGAATTAAATACAATACACTGCTGATTGCTTCCATCAGATATCAGATAGATTTTAAATTAAGCAACCAGTTTTCTTTAAAAAAAAACCTTGAAATTAATTTTGCTTTATAGAATCAGAGATGCTTAAATTAGTAAAAACCCCACGGACATATCCACATTTTCCCTTTAAACCTACAGATATCATGCATAAATACGTACCATTGCGATGTGTGATCTTATTAAAGTTTCGTTTTTTCTGAAATGAAAACATTACTTTTGAAATGGTGAACTATTGCTTACGTTTGCTATGCCAATTTCAAGCACATAAAACCATATAAAACATTCCGCGATTGGATGGGTGTCTGCGTAAGAACAAGTCTATCCAATCATCCCATTAAGGTTGAATTACAAATTGTCAGCAACTCCGCCTTCAGCTCGCAAGGATACAACGCTCAGCGTAAGTGTATGGATAGTGTTTATTGTGTGTTTAATCGCTCACATCTGGCCGAAGCTCGCGCCATGGACAGCGTCCACTACCGGGGATGGTAAAAAAAAAAAAATAATCGGAGAACAGCGGCGGGGGCAGAGATACTTGGACTTGTCACTCGTCAGGGAGTTGTCAATTAAATATATAAATATATAAAACAAAACTAGAGAGGGCGGCCAACGGAAGGGTCACAGTTGACGGAGGAACACGGAACATTCAACAGATTCTAGTGCTTGAGTGCTTGAGCTTGAGCTTGTCCAGCCTGCGACTTACGGCCACAAATAATGGAGGCAGCTGCCACACCGCCTGCTTTACGGGGGCAGGTTTACATCTGCATTACGTGCGGAATGGGGCGGGGGGGAAGGGGGGCGCTTGTCTTACAATTCTAGTTATATGGAGTAGTAGTTGAATGTAGTTGTATTCGGCGCTTGGGTGAGTGGCCCAGTTTACTGGTCCATCACCTCCTGGCTGGTGTCGTCGACCTCCATGGCGGCCGGTTCGTCCTTGCCGGCGGCGGCGACGACGACGGCCTCATCGGTGGCCATTTCGGCGGCAGGGCCGCTTTCGGCCATGACCACCTCCTCGACGGCGGCGGATGGCGAGGCGCGTGCCTCCTCCTCGGTCGGTGTGTCCTCCATGGGCTGGTCGTTGAGGGCCAAAGTCGGCGGAGTGACGGCGGCCATGGGCGAAGCCTGCGAGTCATCGACTGTTGCCTCGGCGGGCGGCGTCTCGGCAGCCGAATCGGCGGCGCCCAATGGAGATTGTGGTGTGGTGGCGGCGGCCAGGTCTTCGACGGCGGAACTGGATGCTTCGCCATCCTGCGACTCCTCGACTGGCTCTTTGACAGACTCCTTGACTGCCTCAGTAGCAGCGGCAGCAACGGCAGCATCGGCAGCGGCAGTCTCGTCGTCCTCCTTCTTCTTGTTCTTCTCGGCCTCTCCTGCCGACTCGTCGGCCGGCTCCTTCTCCTCCGGCAGCGACTTCGTGGCCGGCTCAGGTTCAGTCTTTTCGGGTTGGCTCTCCTTGGTCTCGTCGGCCTCTGGCTTGGCCTCAGACTTGGTCTTCGGTTTCGATTCGGCGGTAGTTGCCTTCTCCTCAGTGGGCTTCTCTGCTGCTGCAGGCTCATCAGTCTCGGCAGTTTCCTTCTCTGCCTGCTTCTCCGCTGCAACTGGAGCAGACTTGTCCTCCTCTTCTTTCTCCTTCTGCTTCTCCTGCTGCTCTTTCTCCTTCTCCTTTTCTGCCCTTTCGGCTTTGGCAGGCTCCACTTCCTTTTCGACCTCGGCGGGTGGCGGTGTGGCTTTATCGCTAGCCGGTTTCTCGTCGGTCTGCTGTTCCGCCATTTTGTCCAGATTTTCGGCCTTCTCTGCCTCCTGCTTCTTTGCGATCTCTTCCTGCGGCTCGGCCGCCTCCTTTTTGTCACCGCCTTGTTTCTCCTCCTCCTGCTGTTTCTCCTTGGGAGCTACTTCTTTGTCGGCTTCGAGGGATTTACTTTGCAGCGGGTCCTCGACCTCTTCATCGACTGATGCTGGGGAACCCTCCTCCTGGTCGCTCGACTTCTTGCTGCCGTTAACAGCCTGCTTGGTGGTTGTCTTGGCCTCTGGGTCAGCCTCATCCACCTCCTCGTCGGGCTCCTCGATCTCGGCAGCCTCTTTTGGGGAATCAGTCTCATCGTTGTCACTCTTATCCTTCTCCTCCTTCTCCTTGTCCTTTTTGGCCTTGGCGGCTACATCCGCATCCGCATTCGCATCCGGCTCGGCGGGAACCTCATCGGCCGCCTCCGAGCGCTCGTCGCCCTCGATCTCCAGCTTGGCCTTCTTGGCCTTGGGCAGCACATTGTCGTCCGAACGCGGGCAGCTGGCCTTCTGGGCACCGCCTGCCGAACCAGAAGTGGGGGCAGAGCCCTCCTCAGCGTTGCCATTGTTGAACAGGGCCTCGTTCTCCATCTCGATGTCGATGTTGACCTCCAGGGAGAGGTCGCCGTTGACCACGGAGTCCAGGGAGTCGCCGTTCTCGCTCTCGGTTCGCTTGCGTCCCGGATCAATGGTGCTGACCACTGTAAAAGGGAGAATCTGACTGGGTGATCCCACTCGAATATACATTTCTGGGTTACATTTAGGCCTTACCCAGAATGTTCTTCTCCAACGCACGCATGAACTTGTCGATGCGCGAGTACTGCTTGCGGGGATCGATCAGCAGCTCGCACAAACGCTGCACGGTGAAGGGAGCTGCGTTGAAGAGGTCCAGGCGCTCGAGCAGCGATGACTTCATGGTCTCGTAGTTAAAAGGGTCCACATTTGGGTAGTTGGGAATCTCTGCAAGGGTGATGGTTAAGTGGTTAAGGTTCTAGATTGTAAACTCTCTTAAAAAATCAAGTTAAATTGTTCGTTATCCCAAAATTCTATTATCAATTCCCTTTCAACTAAAGAAAAACAAATTCAGAGTCTAAGCTGGAAAAATGCAAATTTGGAACAATTTGTACCCAAAAGATAACCTTGTTAAAGAATGTTTTCAATCTAAGAAAACCTACCAAAGTTATATTTACAAAATCTTTTTAACCGAAATCTTATCATTCGCTTAAACACTTCAACTTGTGAAAGAAAAGCATCTCAAGTAGGGTTGCCAATCGAAGAAAAACTACTAACATTGTAGTGTGATTTCAATTCAACCAAAACTCGTTGAATCGCTATTCAATTCAGACCAATTAAAAGTGGAGCAATGCATCCTGTCAAACAAGAGTTGCCACCTGAAGAAAAACTACTAACGAATCAACAAAAAATTAGCACTGTCATCTTTTGGGAGATTTAGAACCTGGAAACTCACCCTCCAGACGCGGCGAATCCTCGTTAAAGTGCTTGATCACGTTGAGCAGCTTCTCACGGAACAGATACTTCAGGCTGGACCACTTGAAGATGGTATCGCCGGTTTTGGCCACATACTGCAAATAGTCCTCCAGTTCCTTCGGTATCTCCTTTTGCTTCAGGCGCGTAAAGCGCTCCAGAATCTGCAGGATCTCGTCGCTGTTCTCCATGGTGACCATTTAGGCGATCGCTGAGCGGGGGAAACACTGCGGAAAAGCGGTGGAAATGAGAGATCAAAAACCGGCCGGCAAAGTGTCAAAAAAAAAATATTTCCTCCTCGAGGTAGACACACAAAAAACGAGAGAAAACGGGAGAGAATCAAGAAAATTTCGCCAACTGTGTGCAATTGTGTGCAGGTATGCGCATGAAGCATCTTGCATCTGCCAGCTCTCTCCCTCTTTCCTTCTCGCTCTTTTGGTGGAGGATTCGCCAGGAAAACTAGTTATGCTGCACACACACACACACTCGCTCAAATTTGCAAATTCGCAAAGCCGGTGTATGTGTGTGTGTGTGTGTTAGCGGCTGCAACTCTAGTTGCCAGGCCAATGTTGTTGTAGTTGTTGTAGCTGTCTGCGCCAGACGGCCAAAAAAAAGGAGAAAAAAAAATTTATGCGACGCCTCTTGCGAATTTCTATGGCCAACCGGCCCGTCTTAATATTTGCACTTCGCGACTGCATTTTATTGGACCAACCCACGGAAGAGCTGCTTGCGCCACACTTTCCGCTCACCTGCACTAGCTGCGCTACTGCTTTCTATCACAACTTCGCCTTTTAACAGCACTTAAGTCAAGAATTCCAGGTGAGTTTTGTATCACTTCGTTTGGATTTTTTAGCAAGAGTGACCTAGGGATCAGAGGCGGCAAAACCTCGATAACAACATCGATTGCTCGGACGGTAGGGAACTTCGGTGGTTGAGAATTTCGGTGGTTGCAAACTTTGGTGGTTGAGAACTTCGGTGGCTGACAACTCTGTGGTGGAGAACTTCGGCATTTAACAGCTTAGTTCCTAACAGAAATGTTAAAAATCATGATTTTCGTAACAGCTATGTTAAAGCAACGTTTTCTTAACAGCCGCTTAAAAATATTAAAGCGAAAAAAGTTGATTTGTTTGTTTAATTACATATTTACTTAAATCCGCAGACTTGACCAAAATGCATATCCATGACTGCACCTAAATGTACAAATTCGTCAAAAATTAAAAATTATTAATTTCTAAATCCAAAAAAAGATTTTCTAGTTTCAATAAATTTGATTCTAATAATAAGGAAACTATGCTTAAATCAAGAAAACGAAAATCGCCATAAAAACATAAAAAAATACTCGTTTAAAAATTCTTTAAAAGTAACACATTCTGAAAAGAATAAGGAATCTGACTCTAATTTTGACTTTACAATTATATTATATACATATATGAAAAGTACCTTTAATCCTATTTGATCAATAACTGTCAGCCTACACAAAATATTTCCATGGAATTGCTTGAAATTGTATATAATTCTGGTTTTTGAAAACAACTAACACAGGCGAAATCAGGACTACACAAGCCGTAGGTGGACGAAGGACGAAGGCAAGGACTTCTACAAGATCCTGGGGATTGCCTCCTGCCCAAGTGGAAGAGTAAATGATCTAATGGGGAACTGGCGGTGTTCTCATCCTCTAGGCACTCTGCCAAATGGCCTGCCATCCAGACCAAATCCACGAGAGAAACAGTGAAGTA